TACAAACTGTACGTCAGAGTGAACTAGATAAATGATGAGGGGAAGTTTCTCGTTACAGAAGTGTGCTAGTAAAGAAGAAAGAGTGGAATTAGGCTATCACAATTTCACCACTTCTATGAATCCTGACTTCTAAAGAATCAATGAACTTAGACAAGGAACAGCTCAGACCGCAGAAAGAGACAATCAGATGCCGTGCCCCTGCCTTGAGCCTACCCAAATCCAGGCAGACCTCTAAACCTCATTGCCAATTTCAGGAACTACAGGGGGCAAGAGAACATGTTAGACCACGCCATGAAGACGGAGTCAGCACGAGGCAAAGTGTAGGAAACTGTGAGACAAATGGCCTGGTCTCCATACAACCATGGCAACCAGTAGCTGGGACAAAGAGAGAGAGAGGCCCGGGAAATTTTCAGAAGGGGAGACGGAGGAGACAGGTCAAACAACACGCGTGTGGACTGTTTGGATCCCCGTTCAAAGCAAACAAAACCGAGAGCCAGAACATGTACAGGACAGTCAGGGAAGTGAGGACACAGGCCGGATACTTGATGCTCTTATGGAATTGTTCGGGTTTGGCGGAGCCATGGTGATGGTTTTGTGGTTGTGTTTAAGGCCATGTCTTTTAGAGACACAGCTGAAACGTTGCAGAGGAGACAGTATAATGTCTGGCATGTGCTGCAAATGATCCTGGGGCAGGAAGTGGATCGAAACAGAGAGGAAGCCAAATCAGCCGTGTGTTGATAATTGATGCAGTTGGGTGATGGGTCCATGGGTTTCATCGTAGTGTTCTGTCACCGTCTGCATATGCTTGAAAATGTCCACGTGTTTTAAAAAGACCCTCCATCCTCCCTCAGTCCCTCTCCGCTTTGGGCCCTTCCCTCTCTTCCCTTCCTGAAATGGTTGTCTCCTCCATGCTGCCTCCTCTTCCTCACTCCCACTCAATCCTCAACCCACAGCAGTCTGCCCGCCCACCCCACCCCCATGGGAGTGTCAGCCATGAGCTTCTGGGTGAAGCCAGCAGACCCTTCTTCGCAGCGTCTGACTCTGTGGACGGCTCTATCCCCTTCTGGAAGCCCCTTGGGCTTCTTGGACATGATATACTCTCCTGGCTTTTCCCTCTGCTCCATCCGTGGCCCAGCCTCCCTGCCTGGCCCTGAAATGTTAGCGCCCTGGGGCTCAGTCTAGTCTGCTCCCCTGCTGTCAATAGCAGGCCCCCCTCGCCATCCTAGGATTCTTTCAGACGTCACACCCACACATCCAGCCCGAGTCTGCACTCCCCAGCAGCCGAAATCTCAGGAATGTATTAATGCCAGAGCTCTTGTTGGGCCCTCATCCCCTCATCCCTGCAGCGCCCTCCACATTACCTGCACCATCACTGACACCCAAACCAGCCTGTGGCTTACGTTGTGAGAACATGCTGTGTGCCCTCCCTTCCTGTGCTCTTGGTCAGTTCCTCGTATGCTCCTGAGATGTCACTTCCTGTGTCCATCTAGCCTGGGTCAGGGGACCCTCCCTTGCATTCGCGTGTCCTCTGTTGTAACATGTAACACAGTGTTGGGGTTGCTGGCTACTCTGCTGTTTTCACTTGGTGGGGTGCTGCTCCCTGTGTCGCCACCTGTGTCTTGGTTTGGGTCAGGGCAGGGCAGGAGGAGAGACGGAGCTGTTTACCCCGCAACCCCTTCCCTGCTGGGCTGTAATTTGAAGGCAGCTGCATTCCTACCAAACCCCACTCTGTCTAGCAGTTCCCTCTGCAGCCTTAGGCTTAGGGTGCTAATGGCTTAACAATTTCCTGGGGTTGCTAGCCTGGGGGTGCATTTTTGTTAATTTCCCTACACCCTGCTAAAACTTTACAGTGGCCCTGTACTGGGTTAAATAGTGCCCCCCCACACCCCCTCTACACCCCACAGACACAAAAAACCACCTCATTTCCTCCTTGAAACTTCAGAACATGCCTTCTTTGGAAATAGGGTAGTTGCAGATGTAATTAGTGAAGTTGAAGCCTACTGGAGTAGAGTGCACCCCAAGTCCACTGTGAGGGGGAGACATGGACACACAGACACACAGACGGAAGATGATGTGAAGATACACAGGCGGATTGGAGCGATGCTCCTACAAGCCAAGGAGCACTGCGGAGCGCCAGCAACACCGGAAGCTAAGGGAGGCTGGGACGGGTTGTCCCCGGGGCCTCCAGAGGGAGCAGGCCCTGCCAGCTCCTTGATCTCAGATTTCTGGCCTCCTGAACCGTAAATTTCCATTGTTTTAAGCTACCGGTTTGGGGTTCTTTGTGAGGGCAGCCCTGGGAAACGAACATAGCCCCTTCCTGACCCTCACATCAGCTCCCCTTTGAGGGGCCCACCTATTCCTACCACCTGCCTCTTGCTCTGTGAACTCTTCAAAGTCAAGGCCCCTTGTCGACTCTGAGGCCTCAGGGCTGGCACAGGGCTGGCCTCTGTAGGCATCCAATAAACATTTGCTGGATAAGAGTGCACGTGCCTCTGATTTCATCTGTTCCTCTCTGACTGAAATAAAATCAAAACAAATTCAAAGCCAGCATGGAAGTTTGGGGTTGAAGCAGAGACCCGCCCAGGTAGTGCACGTCTGGGCACCTGGGCTCCTCTCTCCGGAACCCTGGCCGTGGCTGAGTCAGCGGCAGCCCCAGGGCACAACGCCGTGGGCCTGGCACACTGTCGTGATTTGAAATACTGGATATGAAGTTCAGCTGGATTGGAAATGCATTTGATTCTCACAAGAAATTTCAATCTTACATGTCAATGAAAGAAAAGGAGGGGTTGTTAAGTTCTTTAAATACCGTTTCAACTGTTGTAAAATTTGTGTGATTATAAAAATGGCTTTAAAGTTATCATCAGTTGCAGGAACAAAGTGTCTCGATGGTGACGTCCCAGCTGCCCCCTCTGGCCTGAACTTGTGTGCAATCATTTCAAGCTTAAAACCTGGTATGTTCATCAGAGCAATCACAGGTTTTCATTTCAGACTGTGAACTATTTTATTTGGGAGTTTTACATAAATTTACTAGCTCCTCCAATACATTTTAAATGTTTCTTACAAGCATATAAAAGAGTAATGTAAAAATTAACATTTTATAAAAGATTAGTATTTTAAGCAAATATGATAGGTCCTCTCTGGGACCTTTTCCTAGGGTGCCATACAAATATTACCATTTTCTACGTGAGAAAATGTGAAAACTGTTGGGATACCCTGTACTGTCATACCACATCCATTCATGCAGTTCGCAAACGTGGGTCAGTGCCCTCTGAGTGGGCATGACCCCGAGAAGCCCTCCAACCAACCTCTGGGTAGGGGCCAGGATATGGATTTAGAGATAACTCGGCCCAACTCATTGTGATAAGTCAGGATCCGGAGGTGTCTGCAGTGCCCAGGAAATGCAGTGACGACTGCCTGAGAGAACAGAGAAATATTTGACCTGGCCTCTAGGTTTGAGCTCACTACGCAAGGCTGGGGTCAGGAGGGCTGAGGCAGAAATATCAATGTGGGAGAAAGCGCGCATCTTGGAAACCAGCATCTGTGAGCAGGAAGACGCATGGGTGGGTTAGGCGTTTAGAAGGGCGGTGTGAGGCATTCGGAAGAGTGGGTTGCATGAGGGAGAGCTTGGAAGCCGGGAGGCTGATGCCCAAGTTCAGTGGGAGAGGAGCCCTGAGCAGCCTCTGCGGGGTGTGCCAAAGGAGAGGGGCCTGGGAGAGACATGGGGGCCAGGCTGGACTGGTCTGGGGATCACCAGGAATGCAGCGTTAGGAAAGGGAGGAGAAGGAACCGGCAGGGAGAGGAGATCCGCAGAAGAGACCACCCCAAAGTCCAGAGGCCTGGGACCAGCTCCCTTGCAGGATGAGGGGGCCCAGCAGGTGTCCTGTGGCTGCACCTTGGGGCCACAGTGAGGCTGGCAGCTTTTTTTTCTGCATGGAGAACACGTCTCCAAAGCCTAAGAGGTGCACTTGATGCAACCCAATTCGATAAACAGAAAAACGTATCAAGGTGCTCTGGAAACAGAACAGCCCCCAGGGGGAAACTGTAGGGCCTGGCAGGGAGGAGGCAGCCTTCCCCAGGCCGGCGGGAGGGGGCTGCTGGGCAGCGTAGGTCATGGTGCCTGCCAGAGGCCCAGGGCGCCATCTGTGCAGACCTTTCAGGGCACTCACAGCCCAGCCTTGGACTGGCTAGAGCCTTAAGAATTGTCTAAACCAGGGGCAGTCTTCTTTCAGGAATTTCGTTTGTAAAATGTGTTTTCCGCTTCACTTTGCCCTTCCTGGGAGGTGGTGTCCTGGGAGCTGGGCACCCGGGCTGGGTCTGGACGCCGTGTGTCTGCTGTGAGTGTTCTGCGGGCACTCCTAGGCCCGTCTCTGATCCGGCCTTTCTCACAGGCTGTGCAAGGTCAAATTTTAGCCAGAAGCGAGCGTGGGATTCAGAGAACATTGTTCCTGGGGTGAAATGGGAACTGTCTGTGAAGGCACCAGCGATGCTGGGTGTCAGGTGCAGGTGACCGGGCCAGCTGGGCTTCCCCAGCACAGCTGTGTGAGCTGCGCGTGTCACGCGTGCGTACAGGTGTGATGAAAGATGGCTCGACATAGCCTGCCTGTGGGCCCCATTTTCACTTAATAGAATGCTGGTTCCATGATTCTCCCTCTTGAGGAGGGGCAGCAGGAACGGAGGCGAGGTGGCCCAGGCAGGCCCCCCAGCGCTGGGCCTTCCTGGGGGACGCCTCCCGTTGCTCCTGTTGGTGAGGTCTCCCTGGAGGACAAAGGGCCCTTGGGGAGCTCCCCGTTGGCCTGTGGAGAACATGTCAGTAAACGCCCGCGCGCCCGCCGGCCGGCAGGTGCAGGGACACGGGACCGCTGCGGAGTCCTGAGCGGACCAATGGCCGGGGCCCCAACAGCGGGCGGGCAGGCCGGCAGCGCCACTCCGCGCGGGGGCGCCCCCGTGGCCGTTTGGGACCCCGGGCGCGCTCCGGGGCCTGCGGGGAGGACCGGGGAGGGGATGAGCTGGAAGGGGAGGGGCCGAGCCGCCCGCAGCCTCCGGGCCGGGCGCCCCGTGGCCTCGGGAAAGTGAAAGGGCCGCGGGGCCTCCGCGCCGCCCCAGGAAGTCGGGAGCAGGAAGCGCCCACGGAGGCCCGGCCACCGGCCAGGCTGCGTTGCGTGGGCCTGGGCGGCACAGGTGAGGCGCGGGGACGTGGCGCGGGGACCCCTCCCCACTGCCCGCACCTGCGGGGAGTCGGCCTCCGGCTGCGCAGCCGCGCGGCACCTGCCACCGCGGGCGACGGGCGGGCACGCCGGGGGAGGGGGGCGCGGGGGGGCCTGTGCCGGCGCCCGAGGGGCCAGGTCCCGGCGCCCTGCTCCGCCTTCCCCGCCTTTGTTGCTGACGTCGCCGGGGCCAGGCGGTCCCGAGCTCGCCCAGCCTCAGGGACGGCTCCGGAATGAGGGGTGCGGGTCCAGAGGAGCGCGGGCGCCCCTGCCGCGGCGGGGGCCGGGCGGCACGGGCGTCCCGAGGACGAGGAGGCAGGGGCGCCTGGGCTGGGCTGGCAGCCGCCCACCGGAGCCTCGGGCACGGACGAACCGAGCTGTCCTGCCAGGCGCCCACCCCGCCGCGGTGACAGCTGGGGGTGCAGGGACCCGGCCGGAGGAAACCCGCGCGTGTCCGTTGCGTGATGTGGCCGTGGGCGTGCCGGCTGGGCCCACCTCCTCCCGGGATCAGTCACAGGGGAGGAGCCGGCGAGAAAAGCCACCCGGGAGGCCCGGCACGTCAGCGCCCGGGGCCTTTGGGTGGCTTGCCTGTGGGGCAGCTGGCTCCCGGAGCGGGTCAGCCTCCTGGCTAGCAGGAGCCGCGGCGACCTTCCGTATTTGCAGGGCGTGAAGCCCGGGAGGCCCGCCAGTCGCTGACCACCACCACTGGGGGCTCTTCGCCTCAAGCTCCCATCATCCTGGCCTCCCAGCCTCCTTCAGCTGGCGACTGGTGACCGCTGACCGCGGCGAACCGTCAGGATTTGCATTTGAACGAGGACACGGGAGAGCCCCTTACCCCACCCCCAGGTTTGAATTTCTAAAGGTGGAATCCTAAGCCAGCCTTTTCTCTAGTCTCCCAGAGCTCACTGCCTGGAAAGTGCCCGCCTGGCCTTGAACTTAGAGTGTGTGAGGTGGTTTGAGTGGGTGACTAGCTTAGATTCCCCCCACCCCCACCGGGCTTCCACATTAACCCCCTCTTAGATCAAGCTTGAAGTCCTGGCCTCCAGCCCCCGGGGCTGCCCCGCACTGTGTTGGAACTGCATTGGCAGGTGCTGGTTCATGCAGACCACCTCCCACGGTGGTACGGAGGGAGGACTCCCTTTTGTATTTAAGCCACGGGAGAGAGAGAGTGGCCATTGACATTCATCTTAAATATTGAATAACGCCTTTAAAGCACTAGCCATAGACAGTGTGTGTTTGTTTGTTTCTGGAAAGGACATTGTGTCCTCTCTCTCAGAAGACATGCATTTCCCACCCACCTTTGCCTTAAAATAAGATCCACTTTTAAAACTTTGTCTTTAAGTAGCTTGTTTAAAATGTGAATGGGGCGGCTTTGATTATTGACAACAGGGCTTTAGTTCTGGAAAGGGCCTTTTGATAACACTCTGGCCATACTTTTGAGTCTCATTGTTTTTGTCTCTGAAGAGCATGCGGAACTTTCTAGGCAGCACAGATCACCCCGTGGTGCGTCTGAGGGAGGGGCTGGAGAGCGCATATATCCCTCGGGTCATTCTGTAAGGGTTGACTAGGCTGGGCTGTTTTATAAGATTTTCTTAGAGATGCTCTAAAGGGCTGGCTCCCAAGTCGCTGTCTCTGACGGTAAAATGAAACTGGATATCCTGACACTTTTCCCTGTAGGTTCCAGGGGTTCCTATTAAGAGACACTAAAAAAAAAAAAAAAAGTCTTATGTACTCAGGCTGTGTGCCCCAAACAGGGTGTAAAGCAAGTGATTTGCACCAGTTCTGCTGCCCTCTCTGGTGGGGATGGGCCGGAGGAGGGGACGGAGGGAAACTGGCCCAACCTGAATTGTCCCCGCAGGGCTCACCCACCAGGGGCCAGCCGCTGGCCTCATTGTTCTGCCCAGAAACGCGCTGCCTCTCTCAGAGTGGCCATGGGCTCACGCGAGAGCATGGAAGTCCTTCCTGATGGCCTCAGAGGCCTCCACCAGTTCTCCATGGTGTGGTTTCCAAAATGCTGCCCAGGCTTTGGAGGGAGAGGCCTCATTACACTGAGCTCTTCACATCCCACATATAAAATCGCTATCTTCACGCATCTTAATCGCACTTCCTATGAGAATTTATAGCACTTGCTCTCACCCATTTCACAGGCAGAAGAGCTCACACTGATTTTCCAGTGCCTTCTGGATTTTTGTTGTTTTGGGTTTTACCAGAATTGAGTTGAGGTTGATTGATTGATTCATTAGATAGCAGTAGACTATTCCCAGACAAGCTGTGCCTAGAGGAGCAGTGTGTGGGCTCTGGAGGACGTTGGCTTCTGGCCTTCCGTTGTAAAATTTAAACCAAATCCTTTACTCTGAAGCCATCATCACAGATTTGTTTCTTGAAATATATTTAGGCCCAAACAGAAGCCCACTCATTTTGAGCAGAATTTTAGTAACATTTTTTAAATCTAGAGATTTGAGTAAAAACAATTTTGAAAAATTGTGGAAATTCGTTCACCATAGCTCTTGAGCACTTGCTGCATGCCAGGTTGTGGACCAGGTAATGGGACGGGGCAGTCCCCTGTAGTCCGTTCCTCCTGAACTTGCAGTAACAACAACACCAGCTGCTGTTTACTGACGGTCTACATGCCAGGCTGCTCAGGGCTTTCCTCCTTTGTCTCATTTCCTCCTATAACCACCCTAAAACGGAGGTGTCGTCCTCACTGCTTTTTAGCTGCAGAAGGTGAGGGAGTCCAAGGTCAGCTGTGGGGCCAGGTGACACTCCAGGTGGAATGAATAACTGTGTCATAGTTAAGGCCCTGGTGGGGTCTGGGGCCGGGCTGGTGGGGACAGAGGGGGCTTCTCCACCACCTCCCTGAGGTGAGATGGAGGGGTGGGAGGTCCTGGGACGAGAGCTTGGTAAGGATTTTAAATTTTTTTCTAAAAGTGGTAGAAAGGACAGTCACTGAAAAAGCTCACTCTGGAGGGAGGGCAGGAGTGAAGGGGGGGAACCCATTCTAACTGGGAAGACACGGGCACTTACACATGTAGTAGTTTAAGCCCTGCACATCTGAACCATTCGCTACGGCGTCTATTATCTCAAGGAAGTTGTTTGAAGACATTAAATAAATGTCAGCTTCTTAAATCGAAATCAATGTTTACTCAAAAGTGGCTGTCTTTTTAAAAAGTATATAACTTGTGAATTTTAAATAAGTATAAGACAGGACAGCCCACGGTCCTGTGTACACGGGGAATCGTCTTATTTAACTCATTGGTCCAAAAGGTTCCTGTTGCCAAGCGTAGAAGAACAGCTGAAAAGTAAGACCAGGCGCGAGGCCGGCCTTGGGACAGGAGAGCAGGCCTGCCTGTGTGCCCGGCCCCTTGTCGGCGCTCCGGCCGCCCTTCCGACGCCCTCCCACCTTGCCCGGCCGGCAGCCCTGACTTCAGAATGGAGACGCTTTCCATGGCCTCCGAGATGAGAAATGAAGAGGCAGAGAGGAACCGAAGTTCACCCCCACAGCGTCCGACGCCTTTCAGTTCCGTTCCACAGCCACAGTTGAATGATTGGTTTGATGACCTGCCACCTGGTCCAGGCCTGCGTCCCTCTCTGTTACGGCGGCTCCAGTGTGGCCTGGTCCAAGTGGGTGGATTCGAACGCGTCCAGTGTCCTGGCTGCTTTGGTAGTTGAGCGGCACATGGCGCAACCGCTGGGCACATAGTGCTTCGTGTGAGTGTCAGTGTTAGTTCAGCAGAGTGCTGTGGTTAAGGGTGAATGGCTTCATCGTGGAAGTTGCCCAGATGAGCTAAGTGCGCTTTTTATACCTCATCAGAGTGTCATGTGAAAGTCGTGTCAGTGCTCTCGGGGCAGACGCCTCCAGGGCGGACTCTCTCCCGCCATCTAGTGGCCCGCTCGGTGGGCGCGCCCTGTCGTCAGGGAGGCCGGCCTTGCGCTGGGCTGGGTAACAGCCATCCAGGGAGTTACTTCTGCCAGGGCCCCCACCGGTGCCGGGGTCAGAACACCCGAATTCTCAACTCCTCCTCCTCCTTGTAGAGAGCCGAGCCGGTGCCGGAAGGAAGAGGGCTGCGAGAGCCCACAGGACATCCCGCTTTCCAGGCTGTGTGAGTCCGGGCGCAGGAGACCCAGGATTAATAGCCTCTCTATGAAGCATCTGATCCCGTGACCGGAGCCCCACAGTCCGTGCGTAAATGGCTCAGCTCCCCCCCGGCATCCGCTTCTTGGTCTCATTCTCTCGGGATCAGTGGTAAGTCCCAGCGACTCCGGTCTCGGGGTGGTGCCGCGTGCAGGTGGGGACCACGGTGGGGCCAGCTGTCTCCCTGGCTTCACTGTAAAACACGTGGATACTGGCCTCCCCGGAACTGTTGGATTGCTTATCAGTGGTGGAAGCGTGACCAGGGCCACTGCTGAGTTGTCCTGTCTTTGGTTCTGGCAGTGACAGATAGTGTTTGGACTCTTCGTGGTCTTCAGTGGTTTCTGTAATAATCATGGTCCCCACCGAGAAATGACTGTTGACTACCAGCAGGACCGTAAAACAGCTGTGGGTGAAATGGGCACATTTACTCTGAGCTCAGTGAGTGGTCCTGCTGGGGCCGATCTTCCAGAGAGCAAATGAAATACGCAGCCCAGAGCAGCCCTGAGATTCCTTCTCACGGGGCTCATGGATCCTACACTCCTGGCAGAAGCAGGCGGTGAGGGCACAGTCCAGAGCCCGGCCTCTGGCCTCTAACCCACGCTGTCAGTGGTTTCTCTCCCCTGCTGATCTCGGTGGGGAAGGAAAAAGTTTTCCTCTACCCTCGTAGGCTCAATAATTAGGGCATGCAAATTAAACTGACAAGAGACAGATCACGTGTGTATGGGAATGCACAGGAAAATGTGACTCAGTGGGGCTGTTAGACTTTGGGGCTTATAGACCCTCTTAATGGGGGGCAGGGGTGAAGTTGTGGGAAAACAGATGGCTTTTTAGAAAAGTACATGGGCCTGAGGAGAATAGATGGGAGCTATGATAGTGTTGTGACAGTGTCCGTTTAGGTGCGGTGTGGACACTTCTCATTTCCAATAAGAAGAGTCCGGCTCCCCTGGTCACTGCCAGGCAGGGAGTTATGACAGCTGAGTTCTTTCGGGAGGCTCTGCTTTTGGGCAGAAAAGAGATTTCAGGAACTCAGGTGCTTTCTGCTCAAAATATTTTGTATGCCATAGTGGCCTTCTCAGACCTCAGCTCTGTCACGATGGCCTACTTGTGGCCTCCACACCCTTTGCAGCCTGTCAGGTCCCTGCTGGTCGGTAGAGCAGCCACCAGGGCTCAGGTGTGACTGCAGACATCTCCTTTCCAGAGCAGTCCCTTCATGCATTTCAGGTCTGCTGCTCATCTAGCCACAGGTGTTTAAAGCATTTACCTTGCATTTTGGGGTGTGTAGCTTCTTTGTCTGTTTCATAACTTTATTTTGATACAATTTTGAAACACAGAAGAAAATTATAAGAATGCTACAAAGACTCCTGTATATCACAGATTTATTTTTTTAAGGCTAAGACCTACAAAGACAGAGCAGTGCTTCTCAAACTTCAGTGTGTGCACGAATCACCCCAAATACTTGTTAAAATGCAGATTCTGACTCAGGAGTCCTGGGCTGGCGCCTGAGAGTCAGGTGGCGCGGCCGTCAGTCCACTGACCACACTTGGGAGGCCAAGCCATCGAGTGTTTGTCTTAATTCTGTTCCTCTCTGCCTCAAACTTGCTCTTTGGCCTTTAAGAGTTACGTAACCCTTCTTAGCTGTGAGAAAAGAGATTGGCTTTAGCATTCCTACAAAGGACGTTTTGTTTTTCTACCCAGCACACCTGCCTGTTTCTAGCAGCACTTTGATTTTCATGTGGGAATTGACTTTCCTCCTTTGTGTGTAGTTGGGATAAGTATGTGAGCCTCAGGACTCCCCTTCCCGTTATGGCAGCGGACGTAGGGCCTCGGGTCTGTTCCCGTGAGCTTCCTGGAGCAGCGCAGGCCTAGCAGGAGGCAGGATAGGACCTCAGGCCACTTACTGGTCTCTCCTGGGACTTTGCATCTTGAGTCAAGTGGGCCTAGGGCAGAGGGACTGTTAAAATGCATCTAGTCCAGCTCTGGGGCTCAACTGGCCAACAACTTCTTAACATTGCACCTCATTTGCTTCTCCAGTGGTGTGTGTGTGTGTGTGTGTGTACGTACACACTTTTTGTTCTGAACCCTTTGAGAGTAAGTTGCAGATCTCATGCCCTTCTTTTTCTAAATACTTCAGTGTACATTTCCTGTAAATAAGATATTCTCATATAACTACACACAAAAATGAAAGTCAGGAAATTTAACGCTGATCCAATGCTGCTATCTAATCCATAGTCCATGTCTAAAACTGTATCAGATGTCCTGTAACGTCTGTGATGGCCTTTCCCTGGCCCAGGGTCCAGCCCAGGGTCAGATGTTGCGCTAGTTGTCCTGTGGCTCAGCCGCCTTCCACCCGGAACTGTTGCTTGGCCTTTCTTTGTCTTTTGTGGCCTTCACATTTTTGAAGGACACAAGCCATTTTTTTACAGACTGTGTTTTGTTTTGGGGGGGTGTCTTGTATTTCCTTGTGATTAGATTCTGACTATGCACTTTTGTCAGGAATATCACAGAAGGGAGACGGCTTCTCATTGACGGGGAAGGGGTTATAAATATGGGGGGGGGCAGGCGCTGAAAGGACCATGTGGCATTGGAGTGGAACTAAAGAGATCAAGGACTGGAGAGCAAGCAGGGGAAATTTATAGTTGTGTGTGTGTGCGTGCGTGTGTGCGTGCATGTGCGTGCATGTGTGTGTGTGCGTGCGTGCATGTGCGTGCATGTGTATGTGCATGTGTGTGTGCGTGCATGTGCATGCATGTGTGTGTGCATGTGTGCGTGTGTGCATGTGCGTGCATGTGCGTGCGTGTGTGTGCATGTGCGCGCGCGTGCGTGTGCGTGCATGTGTGTGTGTGTGCGCGTGTGTGTGCATGTGTGTGTGTGTGTGTGTGTGTGTGTGTGTATAAAATGCCCCATCCCTGCCTACCAGGAGGTCCTGGGAACAGCAACACCCCACACGTGAGCACCCCTGTGCCGGTCTTGGCTTCCGGGTTCCGTTTCCCACTGAGGGAGCCCGGCGTCATCAGAGCCTGGACGATGTTGGCACCGGGGCAGGGACCCTAAGAAGAGCCTGGGACATCTTGTGCCAGAAAATAAGGACATGCTTAAAAATGAGGGGCTCTCACTGGCCAAACCTGAAATGATGGGAGATTTAAGATAAGCGAACCAGTAATGGATTACACAATAGTCCGCTGGATAAATCAGAACCGAGTGAGTCCATGCAGCTGTAACTCAGCAAGTGCCTAAGCAGGAGACGAGACAGCCAGCTCCCCCACAGCAGAGTGCCAGCTCGCCATCCTGCCACCATCAGCAATGCCAGGTCATCAGGGGACACACCCTGGGGGCACGTTGGAGGAACCGGTACCCTACGTCATCTCAGTGCTTCCCCCAGTCCTTCGGTAGTCACTGAGGGGAAAGGGGCAGACAGCCCCTCAGCCAGGCGGCCGGTCACGTGCTCCCCTAGGACTCGCATTGCAGCCGTGGGGTGTCGTCTGAGCTAAGGCTGTCTTTGGACTAACTTCTGTGTCAGCTCATACTGCTCAGTAACTGCCACCTAAAGTCTGTGTGTTTCTGGTTCTCATGTTTATCTCATGTGACTGAGATAAACAACGCTCAACTCAGAGCAGCTGCTGCTCACCTGGGAACACATGTGACAGTCATGAATACTTGTAAGGAGCTTTGAAGGCGCACACTGCCCTGTGCTCTCCCTGCCGAGATGGCAACGCGGGGTTGACCCAGACACCGCTCTGTAGTGTTTGTTGGTTAGATGCAAAGAAAGGCCCAGGCTGGCGACTGCAAAAGTACGCGGACGCTGAGGAAGGAACAGGCTAGAAAATCCATTCTTAATGCTTAATTGCTTAATGCTCACAAGCCCAAACGTAACACAGAGCGCACAAGCAGCGGGTTATGGTAGTTTGCTAGGGCTGCTGTAACAAAGCATGTGTGTGTGACAGGAACTGATTCGCACTGCTGGGGACGCTGGAAGCCTGACATGAACGCGTTGTGGGGCCGTGCTCCGGCTGGGGGCTCCGGGAAGGAGCGCCCTTGCCTTTGCAGCCTCTGGTGGCTGCTGGCAGTCCTCGGCACTCCTTGTCTGGTTGTGCCTCTGTCGTCACATAGCCTTCCTCCCTGTCTGTCTCTGTGTCGTCACATGCCCTTTTATGAGGACAGCAGTCACTAGATTTAGGATCTCATTGGATTTGAGGTCATGCATGAGTTAAGCAGGACCTCAGCTTACCTAATTACATCTGCGAGACTTTGTCTAAATAAGGTCACATTCTGAGAATTTGAGGTAGATGTGAATTTGGGAGGACAGTATTCAACCCATAAAGATGGATCAAAGGAAATAAACACCATCTAAACTTTTTGCATCATAAATGATAAAGAAAGGAAGAAAATGAGGATAGAATCACAAAATGGTTAAAGGACTTCAGGAGGGTCATTTTAGACCCATAACCCGGGATAAGCCCACAGGAGAGAAAAGGTTGTTCGATGATCCTGGCAACCTGCGGACAGTTCCCTTCCCCAAAGGGCTGTTGCAGCAGGGCATTCCACTTCCACACAAAACCGAGCCGAAAATTCAGTTGAGCCCAGAAGCGTGTGCTGCTCGGCTCTGTGGCCCACAGTGCTCATGGCGCAGCCCCCAACGGGGCAGGCCCTGGCCGGTGAGCGCCACTGCAGAGCCGCCAGGGAGAGGAGGGGCCAGGCAGCGAGGGGGCGGAGCCCCGGGGAGGGCCCCCAGGTTCTGATAACCTGGACAGCCTTGAGCATCTAAGAATGCAGGTATAGGAGGGCCCTGGGGCTCTGCAGACATTGTCTGGACATACGGAGGGTTATGTATTTCTGGGTTATTTATTCTATTTTTTAAGTTAATATAGTTCATAAAAATAGAATATTTATGAATAGAGTGTTCTGTTTCTGTCTGGGTAGAGAGTAGACAGCAGAACCCAAGGCCCATTTAAGCAGAGCTACTCTGAAAATCCTCCTCAGCTGGGTGATTGTGACGTCGACCCTCCTGGTCGATCGCACACCTGTAAGCAGGTGGTATGTGGCGTCCTCGCGAGCTCCACATTCTTTTCAGCTGATTTGGGAGGCGGGGTAGCTCAGTCTGAGAACTTTTTCAAAACACTCCTTATGGAGATTGGAAAAGGGGGCCCTGTACCCAACGGGGAGCAGTCAGGGCCCCCCATAGGCTGTACTCACCCTAGTTATTTACAGCCAGTGAGGATATAAGTGACCTGCGAATCTCCCTGTGGGCTGGGAGTTCAGGGATTGAGCACTTACAGCTTTCCAGTGGCCTAGAACCTCCCTGTGCTGGCAACTTAAGGGACATAGGAGCGGTGGGTGCAGTAACTGAGCTTCAAGCAAAGAAGGGAGACTTCCGTTCTCTACCAGACAGGTGGTTTTCAGAAACACCAGGACAGAAGCTGGACTTCGGAGCAAACCCACTGCACCTGTGTGATCTTTGTTCTTGGCATAAATTATACACTTGTTTGTTTTTTTTATTGTTTCACCTTTTTCCTACCTGTCCTTTGGTGGCTTGGAGAACAAAGAGTCTTAGAAAAGTGTGTCTCCTTGATGAGGAGGAGAGCATGGGGGCATTGTTTTAGTCGTTTCCCACATATTTACTGAGTGCCTGGAAAGCCGGTTTGGTGCTTTCCTTGCCCTGAGGCACAGGTATCCTGGCGGTTGGCTGTAGGTTTGAGCCCCACGGCCCCGCCACCCCTTTTTTCCCTCTTGAAATAGCATCTTGATTTTAATCTGGAAACATTTGTTTAACAGCCAGTGTCCAGAGAGGTAGGCACCCCTCGGAGTCTTTGTGCCATTCACGGAAGGCAGCCCTTCAAGAGGAAATGACAACATTAAAAATGTGGAAGTGAAACTGGGGACTGTCCCAGCATCACCCAGGGCCCCAGGGACGCGGCCCCTCCACACCGGCCTTTCTCTGTTCTGGCTGTGGCGCCTCTGCCTTGGGGAATTACCACTCGAGCCATCACTCAACTTGAGAGCAAAGGTCTTTTCAGGATGAGGGACTGGGCCTCGGGACACAGAAGGGCCTGCCTTCCTAGGGGGAGCCTTGTCTTCATCTCTTGCCAAATACTTTTCCCTCCTGACCTATTTTCTTCCCCTAAGAAACGTTTCTTTATAGCGTGGTTCAAACTTTTAGATTGGAATGAACTTTTATCTTCTTACTAAAGTATCTTCTTTCCTTTAGACTCCCACATATTTCAGCAGTTCCCCCCTTGAACTGCTTTTCTCATAAGCCAGAAAGAGCAGCTGGGCTTTGGGCCAGTACTTTCATGTCATCGGCCTTACTCACAGCTTGTCAGCACCGAGTTTCCCTTGTGGAGGTCAGCGAGATATTTATGTTTCTCCCTTGCTTGTGTCCTTCTGAAAAGTTGCTTAGACGCTGAAAAGTGAAAAATAAATATGATCTTAGATGCCCAGGATAGCAGGCTTCCAAGAAACTTGCAGTTAATTTTGTTTCAAACTAAATAATCTTTCCTTCGCCTGCTTTGTAAACACGTGTTCATCTTCTGAGTCCCAGATTTCTCTTTGATTATCGTTTTTTTAATGAATGTTTAAATAGTTGCAATTTGGACAGATCAAAAGTGTCAAGTTTTTTAAATGTAATATTGTAGCAATATTGTAAAAAGGATTGATAATTGATATAGTACTGAATGAATGATACACAGCATAAGGAAATCTAAGGATATAGTTATATTCTTCATGTATCTCATTACTGGATAGCATTTCCTCCTGCTGCTTTGTGTTTCAGGTATAGAGCCTTCATTTTCGCGCTGACGTTTTTGCTATATGCAAGTTTCCACTTATCCCGAAAGCCTATCAGCATAGTTAAGGTAAGAAATCATAAAATGCCTAATTTCCTATCCCACCTGTAATCTCTGTGAGGAACTAGTTGTTAAGAGGCAATTTGGGGGAGGGGAAGTGGGGAGCTAAGAAAAATGGAGGAGATGGATTGTATAGAAGGACGTTATTTTGCTGCTTTGGTTTTTAATTATTCTTTCCTGTAATTAAAATCTTCAAAGTGTTTTTAGGATTTATAATTTTAGAGGTAGAATACTTTCAGTCACATTAGTTGACAGTTTCAGAATTCTGAAGCTTAATTAAATAATCTGTCTTACGTGGATTTTCCCTCCAAAATATCCAGTCTTAAATTGTTCCCAGGTTGCTTCTACGATCATCTGACTTGATTCTGAGCCTGGCTGTGCTCGTGGTTCTCCATTGTCCTGAGAACACAGACTTTCTGGGGAGGAAGCTGTTGTGCAGGCATTTACCTGCGCAGACTTTGAGTAAAGAAGAGTGAAGCCGACAGGCCTGCATAACAGCTGGTTGTCGCGGGGAAGAGCGGGAGAGTTTTCTGACTTTGACCAGAATGACGTCTTTTTGTCTATAGGCTGTCAGCAGGCTTGAATGGCTTTTGACTCTTTATTGTAGGAAGAACAAGGAAATTGCCCAGAGCCTAAGACAGATCATTTATAGCTGACGGCCCCTCCCGCCCTCTCTAGTCAGCGGCAGGGACACAGGTCCAGGACTGTAACTGCTGACCGGGGCAGGCTGCCTCCTTCACTCCCTGTGAGCGCTGCGTGCTGGACAGCTGCCCCTAAGTCTCAGGCTGGTGGGAGAGGCGATGGCAAGGCTGTTGCGTCTGTGGGCAGGTCTGTGCTCCCCGTCCTCCAGCAAGTCCCGTGGGCGGCAGGCATCATGCATTTACTCTGCAGCCTCTCAAATCCTTCCTTGAGTCCTAGTAAGCAGGGATTTTCCATGCCCTTCAAGGTGCTTGCAAAAGCCTCACTTTTTGGCCAGTTTTAATGACTGAATATCTTTGCAGACCTTTTGAAATACAGTTTTTTAAAAAGAAGATAAGGACGAGAAAAGAGACAGTGGGCCTTAACATTCATCCTCCCCCTCACCCCTTCAACCACCACCACCACTACCAGTGACTAAAATCAGCACCAGTGAGCAGCCACTGGAAATTTAAATCCCAGCACTTATCCTCCTGGTTGGGACATACGCATACACCTGAAAACAAGGCAGCTTATAAAAATGGGAGAGGCTGCTGAAGAGCCTTAGGGAGCACCATGAAATTAAAGGAACAAGAGTCGTGGGGAGCCTTCCTGGGGTTCAGGATTGATCTTGAAAGCTTGGAGCATTAGCTGGAGGGCGGGCATCACTGTGAAGCCACCAGCTGGGTGCGCGAGGGTCGGTGTTGAGACAGAGGCAGTGCGGTGAGACTGTGCACAGGTCGTCTCTGCAGCAGAGCTGGGCTGGCTGCACTGCTCCGGCGGCTGCGTAACTGACAGGAGTTCACATGACTCGGCCAAGGTCGGAAGCCAGCCGCGTGGCACCAGGTCCCCAGCTTAGAGCCTGAGTCCCCGACCAGGAGGCAACACTGCCTCTTGTCACAGGACAAAACAAAACAGAAAGGCTTTTCTGCTTCTTTATGAAACAAAAAGAGATCAGATCTAATCTCTTATATTTCCCGTGGATGGTTCCTTCCTGGGAGTATTAGATGATGAGAGAGGATGTGAAATTCTGTGTGAAGCAGTGGTCTGCAACTCCCCTTTGCCCTCGCTCCGTGTGTGCCGTGTGTGGGCCACCCCGCTTGCTGCATCCCGGCTCGGGGTCCTCTCCTGTCCACCTATGGCTTTCTTAGTGAAGACTGAGCAGGGTGGCACCAGTGTGCCTCTGGTCTGGCCAGCCGGGCTTCTGTGAGCAGCAGCAGGAAAGGTGAGCAGAGACTCCTGACTTCGGAAGGCAAAGAGGAGAAAGTATAAAATCAGGTGAAGGGGGAAATGCTGAAAATGGCAGCTTTGTGCCCAAAGGAAGGGCTGCACGCCTCTCCCGGGTGTCCCTGACTTGAGCTTACAGTTGCGTCCACAGCCCCTGATGGTCGACTTGGCGGGGCGTGAGCTGAGCACAAGCAGGGACGGGACGCGGCCACTCGCCACTGGCGAAGCCCCCATTCCCCGGAGGGCGAGCTCGGCTGAGGGACACTATTTGGCAAATAGCTATTCTGAATTCATAAAGCAGGGCCTTTGGCTATATTTTTAGGGCGATGTTTAAATTACAGCAGGACAGCTCGGTGGTGGTGACACAGCCCAGGTGACCACAGAGTGGCTGAGTCCCGTGTGCCGTGCCAGGACAAATATTTAGATGCTCACCCAGGAAATGGTCACCTAGGTTGTGGTCTGGCCCCTTTCCAGCTCCCAGAAGGCCCCTTGTGCCCTGTCTCCCCATCCTCACCCTCCTCCAGCTGGCCACGATGCTCACCAAGGTCACCACGGATTCACTGTCCTGTTCTTGAACGTCATAAGTGGAAGCCTACCATTGTTCCTCGTTTGTGAGGCTTGTTTTGTGTCTGAGAGTTGTCATCACCATCGCGCGGACTGGAACTTGCTCTCGGATTGCTGGGCGGTACTCAGCTGTACAAATCTAGCAAGATGGGCCCATTCGTCCTCCCTGGGCAGGTGGTCCGAGGAGGACGGCAGTCAGCTTCCGGCAGCCCAGCTGCTCTGAGGGTCTTGGGTGGCCCTGCGTGTGCTTGTGTCTGCTCTGTGTGCGCCCAGGAGTGGGGCTGCCGGAGAGCCCGAGAAACCTGACCCGCCGCAGGCACCTGTGGGGCCTGCAGACAGACTGGCCTGGGGAGGCTAAGGGGGGACGTTGTTCTTACTCTGCATCCCTGCTGACCCTCACCTGAGTGCACTTCTCTCTGGCTTCTGTCTTTCCCGTGGATGTCGCAGGGTGAGCTGCACAGGTACTGTGCTGCTGCGAATGAGGACGAACTCAGGTTCCACAGCCAGAGCCAAAAAGCCAGTGACACCCCTCCACACCAGCTCCCAGACAATGAGACTGACTGCGGCTGGGCCCCGTTCGGTGAGTTCTCCATCTGTCCACCCGTGACTGTCCAGTCACTGAAGTGGGCGGCCCCTGCGGGGCTCTCCCACAGGTGGCGAGTGCCCAGAGTCCGCCCGCCTCGTGGGACCCTTCCAGCTGTGCCGGTTTCCACAGCCGTGGTGGCGTTCTCGAGCGTTCCTGTCCGGGCACAGCTTGCCTGTCCCAGCTCTCACTCCTTCAGCTGCTGCTGTGTCTGCAGGGCCTGCCTGCGTGCGGGGCTATGCCACCTGGACAGAGATTCTCTTAGTGGGGAGATCTGCTGAAGGCGATTTGCATTTTGTATTAGAGCTGGAAGTCAGGGCTTGCAGAGCAGAAACGGGGGGTAGAAAGGAGAGAGACCCTGAGGCCTGTGGGGGGCTGGCCTAAGTGGGGTGCTGAAGAAAAGCCATAAAGAAACCCAGTGCTCACCTTGAGCAATGTGGATTTTATCGATCAAATAAGGTACATTTCCTGATTGTTTGAGTGCGGTGGCTTTCTTTCCCTTTGCCGAGAAGCCAAACAGAGGACGTGTGCCATGTTTTCTGTGTTCCGCTCATGAGCACACTGCCACACTCATGAAGACTGCCCGCTCCAGACCACCCACAGATGTCTAGAGAGCGCTGAGCACTGCTCACCGTCGCCTGTTGCTTTTCACCCATGCAGATCAGGGCAACTACCAGCAGCTGCTCGGGGCCCTGGACTACGCCTTCCTGTGCGCGTACGCCATCGGCATGTACCTGAGGTAGGCCTGCGGCGTGTGCGAGCCCCTCGCCGGCTGTACCATTCAGCGCAGAAGGCTCTCAGGCGTGGGAAGTTCGCAGGGCACGTGGGACGGGGATAAAGTGAGAGCACACGTGTGGTGCTTGTCCGCAGGCGTGACTGCGACCGCAGAGCCGCGCGTTTAGACAACCCGGGCACGCTGCTGAGCAGGGCGCTGTCCCTGGATGGCTCCTCTGGCCCCGGGGTTTGGGACACGGAACCCTGCTGGGATGTGGTCACTTAGGAACAGCGTCCTGGCAGCTCCCCGTGATGCTCAGCCGAGCGCATCCTCGTCTCAGGTCTCAGGGGCCGCCATCTGTTTCCGTGTCCGACACTGGACATGTCCACCTGGACGCCCCGCTCAGCCCACACAGAGCCCCTCACCTGAGTGCACAGGCTGTGCGGCCTGGTGGCTGGGGCGTGGCTGCAGACACACCGCAGGGACCTGAGTCCTGGCCCCACCACCTGCTCGGGCGGCCAAGGCAGGTCACTACACTGCTTTGGACCTCAGTTTCCCCTTTGCAAACTGGGGGAAGTAGTCGTTCCACCCCACAGGCTTGTGGTGGGGATTAAATGCGTTAGTTCATGTAAGATACTCGGCGTGGTGCCGGTACATGGCCCACGCCCAGCGGGACATCCCCACACGTGGTTGTTTCCCGGCCCTTCCTGATCCCGTTCTTAAACTGACGGAGGAAGGTGCTAAGCGTGATGTGGGTAACAGCACACACGGTTGACGGGCTAAATGTGGTGTCGTGTCATCCCAGCCAGGCAGTCTGTGGACGGAGAGGATGGCTTCCCTTCTTTGTATTTGCATACCCGCGTACGGCTGCAGCGTTTGTGGGAGTGCTCCACGCAGGGGTGATACCAGACTCGGGAGCCCGAGGCGTGCGGCGCACGACAGAACGTGAGCCCGAGGGAAGAGGCGCAGGGCGCGCCTCAGGCTTCTGAGCGTGGCTGGCAACCCAGGCCGCAGGCCGCGGTCCATCCTGAGGAGTAATATTTGCCTTCTAAACACTGGGATCTCACTGGACACTAATAACCTGTGGCACAGGAAGCCCCAAGTGTTGGAGTATGTTTTTCTCAGTTACTAGAAAACAGTATTAAATGTTGTTCTCAGCTGGGAGTGACTTTGTCCCCTAGGAAACAGGGAGCGATATCTAGAGACATTTTTGTTTGTCAGCATTGGAGAAAGGCATGCCCCTGGCATCTTGTGGGCAGAGACCGGGGTGCTGCTAAGCGTGCTGCAGCCCACAAGACAGCCCCTCACCACAGAGAATTACCCGGCCCTGATGTCAGGAGTGCTGAGGTTAAGAAACTGGTTTAAGTGAAGTGATTTTATTGATGCTTACTTGCTGGCAAAGATAAGTTTTCATGCAGCTCGCCAGTGGTGGTTATTCTGAAACCCTGTCTGCTGTGAAACCCACGGTTGACTCATGGCTGCAACAAGGCCGTGCTCTGCTCCCTCGCATGGCCTTTTAGTGACGTCATGACACACAGGTAAAATCAGACACAGTGGGCCCAGGGCCCAGCAGGGGTCGTGTGGCCTTAGTGCCTGTCTGAGGCTGATAGAATGTGGAGTGGTATCTGTTGCTTTAGGCTTTTCTTTTAAAATTTGAAAGTAGAGACCAAATTGGGGCCCCCTATTGGACAGCAAGCAAGAAGCACACAGGAGAACGCTGCTAAGCCCTAGCCCATGGCAACAGCTCTCAAGAGGCCCATCTGAGTCTGCCACTTGTTCTGTGACCTTGGGCAGGCCAGCCAGCCCCTCTGAGCCATGTGTCCTCGTCTCAGAAGTGAGCACGTTGGAGCAGATAACTCGTTTAGCTCCAGGATGCTCTTCTTCAGTTTATGTGGAATCAGCATCTACACAGCTTAACATTTGACCTGAGTGTTATTTCTGATTTTAAAGGGCTTCCTCTGTTTCAGTGCTTAAAAGATCGTTTGTGTGATAGCAGGCCGATCTTTTTTATTTGGTGAATTCAGAGGAAGTTGCCTGGCTCTTGAAAGACCTGAATTTTGGAACTGGCTCCCGAAGTGCTGTGTGCTGTTCACGGGCAGCCAGTGCCATTCTGCAGTCTGCTTCGTATTCGTATTTACCTGGGACCCGTGGAGTTTTTAATGATGGCAAAAGGCCCGCAATCCCTTGTGATTATTCTGCCGTTCCTTTATTCATGAATAAGCCTCAATGTCAAGTCGCTCCTCAGTGGCACCCCCATCAGGCAGTCCGGAACATACTCCCTGTGGCGTTGGGTGCTGTGGGGCGTAAAAGCCCATTAAGTGTGCGCCCTAGTAGGAAGCCGGCTTTTCATCCTCACCAGCACCAGCATGGACCCGGTGCGGAACCCGCACTGATCTCAGGTTGAGCCCCAGACAGCTAGGAGGGACTCAGCCAGAGATGCCGGCTCTGTATTGAGTCATGTTGCTGCTCAAAAGGAGCATGGCGGCTCCACCCCCGTTTCAGACCTTACCGTGAAGGAAACCTCGTCCTTAAACCAGATCACAGCGACGGCTCAGGGACCCAGAGCCTTGCTCGTGGTCACAGGTGACCCCTCCTCCCAGCAGGAAAAGGTTTTGTTTTTTTTAATTTGCAGCCATCTTGTGTAATCCCTGGTGTTTGAGATTCATTATTTGACAGTTAGTGACTTTCACTAGAAATAAAAAATCTTCAAAGGTGTTGCCAATTGCCAATTTCTGATTAATAAATGCCCTAGTGGGAAGTAGTCATGATTAGATCTTCTTAGAAATTGTGGTGCTTTGGAGTTCTAAAAGCTCAGAGAACAGCCTGAAAGCATCCGGAAAGAAACCACAGGTTATTTACATTGTGGGTGTGTTTGTTTTCTCATATTTGCCTTTCTTTTCTCTGTGTCCTCAGTGGCATCATAGGGGAGCGCCTGCCAATTAGGTATTACCTGACTTTCGGGATGCTGGCCAGTGGCACCTTTACTGCCCTCTTTGGGTTGGGGTATTTCTACAACATCCACAACTTTGGATTCTATGTGGTAATTCAGGTAAGGCCTGGGCCATGCTCACCATGTATGCGGTTTCCATGATGAGTTGGAGTGGGTGTTTGTGTCGCAAGTCCCTGCCTCTGCCACGAGAGAAGATGGCAAGTGATGGGAGTGGGGCGGGGCGCAGACCTGTGTCCTGTCCAACATCGGGGTCAGCGCTGGCAGGTAAAGCCCCTCTCTGTCTCCTCGGCCATTCCAGCAGCGGCGAAGCTCCCCTTCACTTCAGATGTTGCCTCCTAAAGAACCTTATCTGTCCACACCCTCAGGGGGATGAATGCGTGAGCCCTTACACGTCCCGCCTGCATTTGTCTGAGTTCGACATGTTCTGTCCTGTGACAGATTGGACCACTCAGGAGTTGGAGGGACGTGGGGTACAGCGAGGGCAGGAGGAAGGGAGGACTTGGGCGTCTTGGCGGTGGGACGGGGTTGGAGGTGGTCAGTGGGAGGGAAGGAGGGAGCTGAGGGTGCCGGCGGGTGGGGGGTGAAGGCTGAGACAGGCTGTGTGGCTTTGCGCTCCCAGCTGGGCCCAGCCCTTCCTGAAACCCTCGGCTGCTGTCCCTCCCACCAGCCCTGTGGGTAGCTATTGACTAGAAATGGAAAATCACTTAAAGTAATGAGCTCAACTTCTGAGGTGCTCCCAATAGCCTAGGGGGATGTTGGACAGAATTTGCTTTTAAAAATGTTGCCATAAGACTTTAAAAAGTTTGGCTGTTTTAATTAGCCAAAGTGATTCACACTTTATAGAAAATTAGAAGGAAGGAAAAAAGTCGACTTCCCAGAATCCCAGCATGTTCCTGGAGGGGAGGCCGAGCCTGAGCGCCCCGATCCAGACCAGCAGCCCCCACAGCCTCCTGGAGAGCTGGTCCGTCCCAGTGGGGGTGGAGGGGCGCTAGGCTGGGCCTTGTTTCGTGGCGTCTAGGGAGTTGCCCTGACGCAAACCCATTTGCCAATACGCTTCCTGAGTCCCTTCCTAAAACGTAAGCTCAGGGTCCTCTTGAAAAGTGGAGAAACACTTTCTCTGGGCGCGAGGCCAAGGCTAAGGCTGGTTCACGGGATCACTAACAATAGTATTTTCTTCACGACAGAAGCAGCGAAAGCGTGTAATTCACAAACCATACTTACCGTACAATCACGGTTCTATAAAAAGAAATTTTTCCTTTTTATAAAGTTTTAGATTAGAAAGAGGCTGGAAAGCTTGACCCTAAGCTGTTAACAGTAGTTCATCTCCTAGCAAGTCATTTTCTTTTCTCAGCTTATTCTAAAATGTTCACAATAGCCATGTATTACATTTGTATATGTAGATATACTCGTATGTAGTTTAAAATACCTCTTTGGCTGTTGAGACTCACATCAAATAGGGCTCTCCCCGCCATTTTGTGAGCGTCGCAGCCGGGCTCCCAGACTTCCCAAGAACAGAGCAGGGGAGCGTCTGGGAGTCCCGCCTGAGGACCGGCTCTGGCTGAGAGCTTCCCTCCAGGTGAGTCCCCGCTTTTGTCCTCTGACACAGATCATCAACGGACTTGTGCAGACCACTGGCTGGCCCAGCGTTGTCACCTGCCTCGGCAACTGGTTTGGAAAAGGCAGGTGAGAAAAGGCGGCCCTGTTTCCAGGGGCATTTATTTTTTAAAAGATTTTTTTTTTAACGGTTGGGGGTTTTTTTTTTAAGATTTATTGCAGAAAAAGAAAACCAATTTAACTAGTCTAGTCTCTCAAATAAGATGACTGAAATGTCTGGGACTTGAGGTTCTGAAATTCCGATGGCCTTTGGCCCGGGAGTTGCCCGCCCTGCCGCGAGCAGAGCCGAGGCCGTGCCGTTCTGTGCCGTTCTGTGCCGTTCTGTGCCGCTGCCGCTGTCCTGCAGCACGGCCGCGCCTGGCCGCCTGGGAACCCGGGGAGCGTAGCGGTCAGGGCCCTGCCCCAGGCCTTTTACATGGAAGCTACATTAAAAACCAGACTCAGAGGCGCAGGAAGTGGGGTCAGAGGTGCGCTCAGCCTCTGGTGACCTGCCTGCAGTCCAGGTGCCACTGTAACGTCTGTGTGACACACAGCCTTGGGCCAGGCCCACAGCTCAGAAGTGGCAGGGGACACAAAACACGATGGGGAGACTGACCCGGGGACCAGCCCACGGAGCCTGTGTAGCTGCTGCCCTGCATTCGCCCGGCGGGTCCCCCAGCCTGAGCTTCGGTTATGGGGTATTTCATCCAATTATGGGAGTTAGATTACAGAGGCACAAATTTAAGTTAGGGGCCTTCCCAGAATTTCAGGAAACAGCCTCTTACCTCATTTTAATCACAAATAAAGACACTCTGAGAGAGGTGTGCGATGACACACACACATGTCCAAGGTGAGGGGCAGCCCAGTGCCCTTGCCGGCATCTCTAGTCCTGCGTCCGTCGCGCACAAGTGGCCTCATCATCCCCGCTTTCCTGGACTAGTGTTTACGCGTTGCTTTCACTGGTGCGCCCTGCGCAACTGGCCCATTTACGCGCCCCGACATCATTTGCTGCCTTCTGTCTTGTGTTGCAGGCGAGGTTTGATTATGGGGGTCTGGAATTCCCACACCTCCGTGGGAAACATTTTGGGGTCCTTGATTGCCGGCTACTGGGTGTCCACGTGCTGGGGCCTGTCCTTCATTGTGCCCGGGGCCATCGTGGCAGCCATGGGGATCGTGTGCTTTCTCTTTCTCATCGAACGTGAGTACCCGGCCCCTGGGAGATGAACCCCATGGGGCCTTGGGGGCGAGTTGTGCAGGGGCGGGCTATGCTGAGTCCTGTGCAGGTGCCGTGGCCCTGGGTCACTCCTCACCAGGCAGACTGCCTTCTGCAGGTGTAGGCTTCTCCGTTAGCGGCTTCTCTCCTGGCCGTACTGGGCTTTCGGCTGTTTCCTGATTTCTGAGGAATGGCTGTTGACATCCCGTCCGCCCTGTTCTGTCCACAGCACCTGGTGTGTGGTTGTCTGGGGCTTGGGCGTGTCAGACTCAGGCCTGCCACGTTGCTTGTGTCCGGGGCCGCGGCGCCTGGCCCCTGTGCCTGCACCCGCTCAGCCCAGCTTTGCTGCCGCCAACTGAAATGTACCTTGTCAGCTTGTGTGCTTTCTGATAAGATATATCTGGGACAACATTGTAAAATCATGGCGTAACCGAAGACCATACATCTTGATTAGCGGATGAGTGTTCTGTGAGAAAATCAAATTACTTGCTCCAGTCTAGACTCAAAACCAAACTTTTGTTTTAATTGAATTTGGAATTAACTTTTATCACAGAGATCCAGCAGGACAAAGATTCTCAGTTACGCCAAAGACAGAGAAGTGGGACTGTGTCGGGGCCTTCCGACCCCACCTGCTGTGGGCTTCATTTGCATCTTTGATTTGGCTGAAGCAAGACAAAGTCTTACGGTGCTAGGCGGCTGCCTCCTGTTGCGTGCGTGCTGGGCAGTGCGCACAGCTCAGCTGTGCGTTCGTGCGGCCGAGAAGCGGAGGCATATTTAGCTCCTCGCTTCAGGGAACCTTTTGATTTTTTAAATGCTCCCATCTCCCCGGCAGATAGGAGGCCCTCAGGCCAGCCTTGTCTGTGGTGAGACGGAAGTCAGCCATCTGGGAGGAATTCAAATGGCCGCTCTGGGGGCAGGGCCGCTGCTCCCTCCCTGTTCCCCAGGGACCAGTCAGCTTTCAGCAATGTCTCAAAATGGCCAAAACAAGTGAATTGTTAAACAGAAGGGGATGGGGTGGTATTTTGACTCCCTTACCAGCCTGTGGCATTTAACTGTAGCCTGAGTGTCACCAGAGTTCTGGGGAAGGTCATGAGTCACCTGTTTTCCTCCAGGCTGGCACCCCAGCACCTGGGGCTTCGTCACCTGGGCTCTCCAGGGTGTTCCTTACACATGAGTCACCTGGAGGACAACACACTTCCCCTTCCCAGGGGCCCCGCTACGGCCTGCCCAAGGTATAGAGTCCACGGTGCCTTTTATTCTCTTCCTCAGCTGCTGAAAGGCTGGGGGGGGGCGGCGGGGAGGAAATGCAGTGACGCAGAGTGCGTGGCAGTGGACACGAGCCTGTTTGCCGGCCTGGCCTGGGGTCTTAGCGCCAGGGCCCTCAGCTCAGCCATCCTGGTGGGCCTTGTGCCTGCTCAGGGCAGGGTTCCCACTGAGGCCGCGCCCCACCCCGCAGCTACTGAGGGGTGTAGGGGGGCTGTCCCGAGGGACTGTGGGGACTCTTTTCTTAAAAAGCCCCTGAGAAACACCTGCACTGTGTCTCCTGGGCCACTGTCACTCTGTTACATGAGCCCTTCATTCCCCTTCCTCCTGATTAAACAGACAGTGAGCCAGTTCTCATGGGCACATGCATGGGCCGAGGTCTGAAGGGGCTCTCACACATGGCTCTCACAGGGCTCCCGTGCGCTCCCCGGGGTATTAGGCCTCTGAGGCGGCCCTTTTGAGGGGGCCCCTCCAGCCAGCCTCAGCGGAAGAGGCGTTTCTGTAGCTTTGACTTCCCCTCACTCCGGGACCCCTGGCACCCGGGGCCCTGTGCCCACGAGTCTCTGGGGGCAGAGAGAGCCCGGTTCCCCCCCTGCTCCGCTCTTGTCCATGAGGCCTCTCTCCGTGGTCCGGTGTCACCTGCCAGCCCGAGTGCAGTGTAGACACACGGCATGTCCATCTGAGGGGGTGACTTGCTGTCCTCCACAGCAGAACAAAACTCAGACTGTCAGACCCTCTGCTGAGGACTCACTGTCACATTCATTCTCCTTGTGACGGGGCAGCGGCATGTAATCGTAACGAAAGCCAGCTGTGAGTAATGACAAGGACATGCTGTGTCCAAGAGCGGCACTCCCTTTGCAGGCAGGAAAGGCACATTCCACGTGCTTCTTGCTGGTTTATTTTTGCTGCCTCATCGTCGCTGCCCACTGACCATGGGTGGGCAGCGAAGGCGTCAGGCGCGCTCCTTCTTGTGACCAGCGGTGAGGCCGGGCTCTGTCCTGCTCCCCCCCTCCTGCCCAGGGCTCTGCCCGAAGGACAGGGCGGGCCCCTCAGGCCCCTTGGGGTCTGCCTGGGAAGCGCTCCTGGATGTGTCCCAGCCGAGGGCTGTGTGTGCTAACGTCCTGCAAGGCGAAAGCCCGGAGAAGCCCTATGGTATGGGGGGGACTGGCCACCTCAGCAGGGGAGGCCTCCTGACTGACCCTTGAGGGTCAGTGTGGCTGGAGAGTGAGCTGCTGCCATCACTTTAAGTGGTGACCGCACAGTTCAGGTGGGCCATTGGGACCACCAGTGCTGTCCCTGCCGCCCCTCACAGGGTGGGCGTCGGGGAGCCTCCGGTCCAGTAGGAAGTACACACGAGGCCATCCACGGGTGTCACCCTCCGTGTCATGCAGGAAGGAACTCAGCTGTGGGGAGTTTAAAGCCCCGTAGCTCAGTTTGTTTCAAGGCAGTTAAACTGGTTTACCAAGTTACACAGAGGCCAGGCACCAAGTTACACAGAGGCCGGGCTCTGGGTGGAGGGGAGGGAATAAAGCTGTTAGAAGGCGGCCCTCTGGATTCTGAAGCAGAGTGGGGTTTGCGCCCCAGCTCCTCATGGCCGTCAGTCTGGCCGTCGGTGCCCAATTCGCACTGGAGTAATTGTCAAGTAATAAGATGGGAAAAACCTAGCTTCTGGTCGTGTTACTTTTCACGTATCCTTCCTTCCTTGCATTTAGATAAAAGGCATTTTATTCTATAGCAAGGTAGCTGTTTGGTCCCGTGTAATTTTTCATTTCTGATTCCATAACATTAAACAACTCCTCACAAATGTTACCCCTAACCCCTTACTCTAACACACTTTTCCTACTTGTATGTTTCCTCCCGATGCCTCTTTAAATGTATTTTACATGGCTTGTCACCGCCGTATGCACGTGCTCTGCTCATTTCTGTGTGTCACACGTGAACTGTTCTCCATATTGCAGTCTTCACGTGCCTGACGACTTGCGCTTGTTGGTGGCGGTTTACTGCCCCCCCACCCCCGCCCGCGCGCGTGCGCACACACACACACACACACACACACACAGTGTGCGGGGACTAAATATTCCTGGTGACTAAGGGAGGGAGGGCCCTGTGGCCCTTAGTGGGGTGGCCGCTGCCCCTCACCCCAGGAGACATGCTGCCTTGGGCCTTGTCTTTTTTCTTAAATCGCTGCTAATGGAGTCAAACCATCAGATGGGTCTTGTTTTGGTTTAACTTCTCGTGCTGGTGGAATCGCCCAGCCCTGGGTTCACACGTTGTTGCGTGTTTGATGTTTCAGATCCGAAGGACGTTGCCTGCTCTCCCACCCTGATGACGGTAAGGACTTGCGCTCTGCTTCATGTCTTCTTGGAGCATGTGTCATTCATCTGCCAGGTGTCTGATGACTGTCACCAGCCTGGTCCTGTCTGTGCAGTATCAGCGGGTAACAAAGTGTGGACATGGTCCCACCCTCAAAATATTGGCCGTTTTAGAAAAGGGCTAATGATTGCAGTCTGGGTTAGGGACTTCCTATCGGAGGGTGACCAGAGGCTGGGGACTGGCCAAGCCTCACGAGGACTGGGGACTTCCTGGCTTTCCCCTGGGCAGACGACAGTGTGACTGCAGAAAGATGTGAAGGTAAGCTGGCTGACGTCACTTTACACTGCTGTTCACACACGTCAGGCAGGCCGTGGGGACCGCCCAGCACAGCGACCACCTTTCCCTGGTCAGTGTACTGCCTGCTGCCACCTCTCCTCTCACCTCTGCTCGTGCTCAGCTGACCAGTGACCCTGCAGCCCGGGTCGTTGAGCACGTGCCCGTCAGCATCCATAGCCGGCTCTGCCTTCCCCCCATCACTCGGGGAGCTGCCCTGCCCGCCCAGCCAGCCCTTCCTCATCAGGGCTGTGGGACCATGCTCCTGCAGACCCCCATCCAATCCGGGGTCACTCCCAGCACGTGG